CGGTTTGGAGAGTGAAAGGATGGGTGTCTGGATAGGGGTGGGGGAGTCCTTAACTCCTTCAACTCTAGGACTGAGTAGGCTGTCTCTCTCTCTAGCCTTTCCTTCACCCTCCGAGGCCCAAGACTAAAAGAGCTTCAACCCCCTCTCAGGGGGACCGGGTTGGGGTGAAGGTAGCCGCTCAAGGTGGCTTGGGGAAACGAAAGGGCTTGCGGTCTAGCTTCTCTATCCCTGTCTTGCTTGACAGCCCCTCTACCCTGGGCCCACACGTTTCTCCTCCCCCCCTTTCCCGACCCCTCCCCCACCATCACCAGATCTTGAAGTCCCTTTTATGGGAGAGAGCTGTGAGGATGTCACGTACCCATTAGGATTCTCTCGATCCTTTTTTAAGGGAGTTTGGGCGGCAGCGGGGGGTGTGAATTTTTATACAATGCATTTCTGTCTTCACTTTGAGAGCTTTTTCTCCCTTTCGGGCCATCTGTCAGGCACTGGGGGGTAGAACAATGGGGGAAGGAGGCCGCATTCAGGACCCTTTGGCTGGCTATCTCAGAAATGGCTGAACCTTCAGGTTTTCCAGCCCACAGGTCAAGGCCTGGACCTCCCGGTCTCCCCCCCCCCAGCATTCTGCTCTCATTTCGGTCCTTATTTGACTTTCTAATTCAATTGTCCTGCTTAGTCTGATCATAACCTTTGATGGCCAGGAAGTGTAAGAGTGACTGTCCTCAACTAACCCGGGTCCATTGAGGAAAAAGGCCAAACCAGGCTCAGCATGATGAATTCCTCCATCAGAACAGATCCTCAGGCAAAAAGAGGAGACACTGCCATAAGTGGGGGTGAGAAGTGACAAACGGGAAGAGGAGACAATGAAGAATGAGAAGGATTAAAGAAAATGCAGCAAGAAGCTTGGGTTAACTGAACCACATTTATTATATGCTCTGAACAAGAGTAATTCAAGTGGATGGCCTCAACCTTCTCAGTCCACAGACCTGAATTCCAGCTCGGCACAAATGAGCAAATCTTTGGCAATATCTAGTCCTTCACTTCCATCCTGACATTCTTCCAAAAGTTGTATGCGGGAACAGGGGTGTGCATCCAAAGAGTGACTCTTACCCTCTGCCACCTCCCGTTTTCTAAGCCTCTTCTCCCAGATAGACTCAGATGTTGGATCAAAAGAGGCTCAGTACTTGTACAATCAAATAAGACTAGAAAAACAAGATCCACACCCACATATTGGGCTAGTCCTCTTGCAGATAAAGATCCTTGATCAGAGAAAAGAGGACATTTGACAAGCTGTGGGAACATCTGAAACCAGCTCTCCAGCCTCCCGACTTTCAACCCAACACTGTCCCTACCCCACACTCCTTCTGCGTGTTCATCCATTCTGTGACTAACAGGGGAGGAGGGGAGCTGAAGCCGGCTCCCACCGAAATAGGCTGCTGCTGTGCCTGATTGTGTTGCTATGAGAACCTCAGTGGGGGTGTTTCCTCAGTTCTCTGTTGAAATCTTTTGCTGTGCTTGGCTTCTCCCCAAGTACAGACACAGCTCCTGTTGGAATGGGGAAGGGACATAGAGAGCTGTGTTTTGACATCAAGAGTTTTCTATTCCAACTCAAAGCAGTCTGGGGCACTGAGTGAGGTCAAGGCCACTAGGGTTGCTCTGCAGTGGCCAGAGGAATGAGTGACCTATCATGGTTGATGCTCCTGCCCTCCTTGAACTCTCCTGGAGAGATACTCCTGGAGCCCCTGCTGTGCACTCACCTAACTACAAATTGAAAAGCAGAGTTTCAAGTAATGTGTTACTCAACACTGGAGATAGAGAGATGGTTAACGTCTCCACATGCACCCACACACTTTGGCACATATTCACACACAAACATACAATGAAAATACACACATAAGAATTACCTGAACACCCACCTCCTAGGGTTGTGAAATCCTTGGTGTGTGGAAAACACATAGTAGGCTCTTTCTCAAATCCCCTCATTCTTGAGAAGTCCGCCTTTTTCATCTCCTCGTAAGTATCAGCATGTCTTCTTATCAAGTTAAATTTTCCCACATGATACTGACTGGCCATCTCTTGGGTGCCTTGCTCACCATAGGAACTTGGCTTAACAAGGCAACAGAACCCACCAGATTTCTACTTAGTTCTCAATTTTTAGTCACCTTGAACACTTGAAACAGAATGTTTATAAAGCTTTTGGAGTTTGGTGGCGAGCAAGAAAGCATGGGATGATAAAGGCACTCAGCATTTGTCATAGTGTGTGTGTGATGTGTTTGGTGGTCTAGCAGTCCGAAAACCCATTGGCTCATTTCCCTTGAACTAGACCTTCACAGAAAAAAAAGTGTTGAAAGGTGCTCATAACAATGCTGACCTGATGGTAAGAACACAAATATGTGAAGATTTGCTGCACTTTGTGTTGGGGCATGAGTTAAATTTCATAGTGTTTTTCTATGTTGTTGTAGTCTCTATATCTGAACAGGTTTTTATGTGGTCCTTTTGACTACTCTTTGGGGTATTGTCTCCACCAAACAAAATAGAGACCCAAACAAAACACAGGGGAAATGTACAGAGAGAGACAAAACCCAAAGAATTGTTCTCAGAATACAATCAAGATGGAAGTCCAGGATTCCTTATTCCATACATATGGCTCTAGAGAAGTTACCTAAGCTCAAAGACCAGGACAGTGGCGCCCAACCATAGCTGCATGATGGAACCATCTAGTGAGCTTTAAACATACCAATGCTTTGGTTCCTTCCCCAGTGGTTGATCGGGGCATCAAGAGTTTTTAGGAGTTAATTCTAATAGCGAGCCATGTTGAGGACAAATGAATACAGATATTGGAGACAAGAACTGTATAAGGTCCTTGAGGTATAGAAAAGATACCTTCCATCCTGGAACCACAAGAACTGCCCCAATGTGGAAAGGTCTGCCTCTAACACACACTGTGTTTTCTTCCAGTGCTGGGTTCCAATTCCAGCAGGTGCTGTGTCAGCAGTCTACCACTGAGCCACATTCGCAGACCTTGGTTTTGAGATAGGATCTTGTATGTGGTCCAGAATGGGCTTGGACTAGGAAAACTCCCTGCCTTTGCTTCCATGGTGCTGGAACTGTGGCTGTGTCCTGTGACAGTGTTACCAGCACTGGTTCTTGAGATCTGTGGAGTTGTGTTGATGCCTGGGGTGGCAGGTAGGGTTGAAATGAGACCCTTGGGGAAGAAGTACTCTAGTGCTGTGAGATGCAACTTAAGAACTGGGGTTTTTGTCACCACATTTAGACTCATTATATGACAACGACATTGAAGAGGTTGAAACGCCAGAGGACAATTTATATTGTTCTATTATTAAATAAAACTTAGGAGTCAGATAGTGGAGTAAAGGCTGATAGATCCAAAGAGCAGCGGGAAAACAATCAGCTAACCCTGCCTCTCCACACTTCTAGATTGAAAAGGCAGGCCTGAGAATCTAAGCCTCTCCCTAGTCCTTCTGGTGTCTCTCTATCCTAATCTGGGTTTGCCAAAACTCTATGGTTTATTCTGGCCAGTTTAACATTGACTCCTTCCTCTAATTCAAGGTTTAACTTTGTCAGTCTCAGAGTGAAATCCAATGTTCCACAACAGGAGGTGACTTGTAAACCCTAGAGGCCTATATG